AGTGCTTAGATGTCTCAGAACTTGAAGACGAAGTGGATCGATATGTTTGAACACCACATGGCGATCGACCTGCTGACGTGGCAGGTGAGAGAGGCGTAGAAGGGAGAGAGGAGGAGACGTCGAGGCGAAGAGAGGGGAGGGAGACGGGATGGGGACATTGGAGTGGGCCACACAGAGGAGCAGAGAAGCCCTTTTCTATTAGGGTTAGGGGCAATGTAGGGCTGAGGCAGAGGCAGCGGCAGGTGTAGGGCAGAAGAAGCGCCAGAAGCAGCACCAGATACAGCGCCTGAAGCAGCACCAGACACAGCGCCTGAAGCAGCACCAGACACAGCGCCTGAAGCAGCACCAGACACAGCGCCTGAAGCAGCACCAGACACAGCGCCTGAAGCAGCACCAGACACAGCGCCTGAAGCAGCACCAGACACAGCGCCTGAAGCAGCACCAGACACAGCGCCTGAAGCAGCACCAGACACAGCGCCTGAAGCAGCACCAGACACAGCGCCTGAAGCAGCGCCAGAGGCAGCTGCAGAGGCGGGCATACGGCTTGACATCATTCCACTGAGCCAAACTTCTCCTCATTCCCCACAGCCCATTTGTGTCTCAATTTGTTGCATGGGGCCCTTTGTCGGTCTCGCTCACCCCTTTTTTCAACCCTTGTAGAAGAGCACGTGTTATGACGTGGAGGCACGGCACTGGACGAATAGACAGGGCAGATCGACTGAGTATCAATCTCTCCGCTATTTCCCCACGCTCCCACCACACCCCCCCCCCCCCCCCTCCCTTTATCACCACTGCAGGAGGACGGCGGGCAGAGCACGTGCTATGGCGTGGAGGCCTTGGACAGAGAGACGGGGCAGATTATGCTTGAAGAAGCTCGAGCATCAGTAACCCCACTCTTTCCCCACGCTTCCCTCTTCCCTACCCTCCCCCTTTCACCACCCCTGCAGGAGGACGGCAGGCAGAGCACGTGCTACGGCGTGGAGGCTCGGGACACGGAGACGGGGCAGATCAAGGAAGCAGAGCATCAACATTCCCACTCTTACCCCACTCCCTTCCTCCTTGGTATCTACAGCAGGACGGCGGGCAGAGCACGTGCTACGGCGTGGAGGCTCGGGACACGGAGACGGGGCAGATCAAGGAAGCAGAGCATCAACATTCCCACTCTTACCCCACTCCCTTCCTCCTTGGTATCTACAGCAGGACGGCGGGCAGAGCACGTGCTACGGCGTGGAGGCTCGGGACACGGAGACGGGGCAGATCAAGGAAGCAGAGCATCAACATTCCCACTCTTACCCCACTCCCTTCCTCCTTGGTATCTACAGCAGGACGGCGGGCAGAGCACGTGCTACGGCGTGGAGGCTCGGGACACGGAGACGGGGCAGATCAAGGAAGCAGAGCATCAACATTCCCACTCTTTCCCCACTCCCTTCCTCCTTGGTATCTACAGGAGGACGGCGGGCAGAGCACGTGCTACGGCGTGGAGGCGCTGGACACGGAGACGGGGCAGATCATCCGCTTTATAGCGGGATCCACACTGCTCGCTACAGGGGGAGCAGGCCACGTGTACCCCAACACCACCAACCCCACGGTACGAAGATTGTTTTTTTGGCACCTCCATTTTTGGAACCGGTTCATGTCTCGCCTGCACATGTTACTGTTCTCAAGATGCTTCAGTTTCTCAGTCTCCCAGTGTCTCACCGCCTATGCATATGTGTGTATGTGTGTGTGTATGTATGTGTGCAGGTGGCAACTGGGGACGGTGTAGCTCTGGCTTTGCGTGCAGGCGCTGTCATCTCAAACATGGAGTGAGTCCACTTCCTCTTCCTCTGGGTCTTCCCCATCCCCCTCTCCCCCCAATTTTCCTGCCTTTCCTCCCCGCTCCCCCCACTCAGTGCTGTCATGCCCCTCCCCCACTCCATGCCCTTCGCAACACCCTCATCCCCCTCCCCTTGTTTTCACCCCACCCCCACCCTTCCCCCTTCAGGTTCATCCAGTTTCACCCAACAGCCTTGGCAGACGCGGGTCTGCCCATCCACCCGCCCGGCCCGCGCCCCAACTCCTTCCTCATTTCCGAGGCCGCGAGGGGAGCAGGCGGGCTGCTGTACAACCAAGCCGGCGAGTGCTTCATGCTGCACTACGACCCGCAGGCAGAGCTCACTCCCCAGGACGTGGTCGCCCACGGGCTCAACTCACTCCTCTCTCTCCTCTTTCCGCTCTCCTCCATCCCCCCTCCTTCAGGTTCATCCAGTTCCATCCAACAGCCCTTGCGGACGCAGGCCTGCCCATCCAACCCCCAGGGCCGCGCCCCAACTCCTTCCTCATTTCCGAAGCTGTTCGAGGGGCAGGCGGGCTGCTGTACAACCAAGCGGGAGAGCGCTTCATGCTTCACTATGACCCGCGGGCAGAGCTCGCCCCTCGCGACGTGGTCGCCCGGTCCATTGACGACCAGCTGAAGCGGCGCGGCGATCTGTTCGTCTATCTCGACATCAGCCACAAACCGACGGACGAGATCCTCCGGCACTTCCCGAACATCGCAGCAGAATGCAAGCGGTGGGGGGTGGATATTACCAAGGACCCGATCCCAGTTGTCCCCGCCGCGCATTACATGTGCGGGGGGGTCCAAACGGGGTTGTTTGGGGAGACTTCGATCCGGGGGTTGTGGGCGGCGGGGGAGGTGGCATGCACGGGTCTCCATGGGGCGAATCGTCTGGCATCGAATTCGCTGCTGGAAGCGCTGGTGTTTGCGCAGAGAGCAGTCGAGCCGGCAATTGAACATGCGGTGGCTGCTGCGCCGCTGAATCATGTGCTTGCGGGGTTGCCTGATGGGAGGGATATGGATGGAACGATGTGGGGGGGGGAGGAGTGGGAGGGCGAGGTGGAAGGGGAGGGGGAGGAGGTGAAGGTGGTGGGGTTGAGCAAGGGGGATTCAGGAGCGGTTGCTGCTGCTGGAGTGACTGCCAAGTACAGGGAGCAACTTAAGGTGAGCCTTTTTGGAAGAGCATTCGTCATTACTATAGGTAGGCATCTGTTTTTAATGGACTGAGGGGCACGTTCATCGACTTCGTGTACGGATGGAAGTTATTTTTCCTCCTCAAACTTTCCCTTAGTTTTCTTTGACTTCATCTCCCTTACCACTCCATTTTCCACCCACCATTGTATCCCCAGGCTATTATGTGGCGCTACGTCGGCATTGTCCGATCCACCGACCGTCTCCGAATAGCCCAGAGGGAAATCGACATGCTGGCGTCCTCCTGGCGAGCTGACCTGGAGACCAATGTGCTGCTGCCACGTGGCGCCGTCTCAATGGAGACGTGCGAGATGGAGAATCTGATCAATGTCGCGTCTCTGGTCGTACGTAGCGCACTGAGGAGGAGAGAGAGCCGTGGATTGCATTTCACCACGGATTTTCCGGGGCAGTCAGAATCGGCGAGTCTGCATACAGTGTTGGTGGCGGGGTGTTTAGATGAAGAGGAGGATGAGTGGGAGGAGGGTGGAAGGGAGAGAGAGAGTGATAGTGATGGTGCGGGTGAATTAGAGGCGAGGTTCGGGGCCACGGAGAGGCTCGGGTGGACCACGTGGTGGAGGCAATCTGGGCCTGTGGTTCGGCAGACAGGTTCGGGTGCGGGGCAGGCTCGGCCAGTGCAAAGGAGAGCTGGTGGTGCAAGGAGACAGGGAGGTCCGCTGCGTCCGCAAGCGAAGCCGACTCTAAAAAGGAAGCCAGAACGTTTGGAGAGCCAGCCTCCGCCTCAATGAAAGGACGTGCTGAACATATGTCGGAATATGATATTATGTTCTGTTGCACAAATTGCTGTTATATTTCCATTAGTTTTAGTATTCATTGCTGAATTTATGTATTGTGGTGTATTTTGGTTTGCGTAGAAGCACGTTTAATATAAAGCCTGTGTTGACGTGACATGACGTTTACGGCAGGCGTCAAAATCGAGGTACCTTCGTGTTGAGGTGGAGAAGCTGAACAATGGTGGTGACTATCTAGCTCATTTACATATCCATTTCCTGTAGCATGATCCCGCGCATGCCGTTGCATGCAAGCATGGCTGCTTGTCCCCGCTTGTCTAGTCTTCGCTGCGCAGCAGAGCAGGGGAGGTTCGGGTTTGGTTTGGTGTGATGACATGGCACGATCCAGCGTGGCAGTCACTATCATTGTTCGGCTTCTCTACCTCAAGTCCAGTGTAAGAGAATGGCATCGTCCAAGGGTCGTACGTATGTCAGTCACTTTCGATGTTTTCAGGTCGACTGAAGAAGCATGGGAGAGTCCAGCGTGACGGGTCGCTGTCGTGCTGGCAAAGCCTCGCGTCGCGTGCGCTCGATGTCTCACAGCCTCTGCAACTGACGCTGGCAGTCGAATGAACCTTACAGCCGTGAGACAACGTTATCGGCCCGGCAATTGACGATGACGACCTCCGATTGGGAGAATCTTCTCGACTGCTCACGTGCTCGCTCATTGAAAATTTTGTGACGTTGCCATGCTTGAGCTATCTTATCGTCGCGCGTTGGTTCGGGTATCTCGAAACTGACTTGAGTCTTTGACGACGCATGTCGCGGCGGCGGAAGTTTCGTAAGTAGTTTCTCAGCCGCCGCGGAGAAACAGGAGACAATGACGTGTTCCGGAAGGGACGCACGCACAGATGGCAGCCCGGTTTGAGGTGATATGTGGAAAGCACGCATTTGCTACGCGCAAGGGGGAGGGGGAGTTTGAGGACTTGTGCCGCCGCGGTGAAAAGAGATGACTGACGAACGTCACGGCGAGGGTCATTGCAGCTTTAGTAAGTATAAAATCTTTCGTCCAGACCATTATCCGTTGTGCTTAATCTCCTGGTCTTCCAGCTGTTCTTTGATCCAGTCTAGAAGATAAATCAATTTCAACCAATTCCATAGTCAGTTTCGTTGAGACTGGTTCAGTACCTGCGGCCGACGCGCTTCTGACCGACCCAGCGATTGGACTATTGTAATCTGTTCCGGATCGACCTGACGTCAGCATCATGCCTCAGTTCAAGCAGTGGCTTCAGCCGCCGAACCTGGTTCACCTTGCCTGTGCGGCCATGGCAGAGCTGATCGGAACCATGTTCTTCGTCTTCGTTGGCGTGGGGTCAGTGGCCGTCTCAAGTGAGTAAAAAACAGCTCTTGTCTGAGTTCCGTCCATATAGCCCACATGCCGAACCTGGTTCACCTTGCCTGTGCCGCAACGGCGGAGCTGGTTGGAACCATGTTCTTCATCTTCGTTGGCGTGGGGTCAGTGGCCGTCTCAAGTGAGTAAAAAGCAGCTCTTGTGCGAGTTCCGTCCATATAGCCCACATGCTGAACCTGGTTCACCTTGCCTGTGCCGCAACGGCGGAGCTGGTTGGAACCATGTTCTCCATCTTCGTTGGCGTGGGGTCAGTGGCTGTCTCAAGTGAGTTCAATTCAAGCTGGTGTTCTCCCCTTTCCATGGTTGATTTACTTCAATCTGGTCTGGTTCAAGAATCTGTGTGAAGTTGGGCCTTACAAAATTGGAAAAGTTTTGGGTGCTTGCTTCATGATGAACCTGGCAGATGTTCTTAGTTTTCTCTCCCATCTCATTTTCTCCTGTTGATCTTCAGGTGAGTTCGTTCAGGTTCTGGATGTGACCCGCATAGTCTCCATACGCATTGCGTTTTGAGACTTCTGAAACTTGAGATGGTTGGCCAATATTCTTTTTCCTGTTTCTCTCTTTCTCTGTTGAATTGCAGGTGAATTCGTTCAGGGACTGGATGTGACCCGCATACTCTCCATTGGCATCGCACACGGTCTTGCTCTCGTGGTTGCTGTGGGGGCTGCATCAGGGATTTCAGGGGGACACATCAATCCAGCTGTCACACTTGGCATGCTAGCAGTGGGCCTCGTTGACGTCATCACAGCAGCAGCCTACGTGGCAGCGCAGCTGATAGGCGCTGTGTTCGGTGCTGGTCTTGTTAAGGCAATAACTCCTGCCAGTACGCATGTAAGTCCCTTTCTGACCACCCCAGTCATTCCCTTCACTGGGTTTTCCCCCCTCTCTACACCCCAGCACAACTCTTCCCTTCCCCTGCCCACCCTTAACCCCCCCACCCCCCCATCCCCTTGTCTCCCTTCCCCGCCTTCCCTCCTCCCCTTTCACCCCATTTCCTTTCCAACCTTCTCTTCAGATTTTGTGCAACTTAACACCAATTTTTCTGTCTCTCATCCGTGTGTCTCCTCTGCAGGACGCTCTTGGTGCACACGTGCTCGGTGCCGGGGTCTCTGTAGGCCAAGGCGTCCTCACTGAAATCATTCTCACAGCCATTCTAGTCTACGCAGTCTTTGCTACTGCTGTCGACCCCAAGGGTCCGTCCCACCTCGCTCCGATGATGATTGGTTTTGCCGTGCTTGTGGATCACATAGTGGGTGTTCCTCTAACGGGAGCCTCCATGAACCCAGCCCGTTCCTTCGGCGCTGCTGTCTGGTCGAATGTGTGGGAGAACCATTGGATTTATTGGGTTGGTAGTATAATTGGTGCTTGTGTTGTTAGTGTGGCGTACTGCCTGGTGTTTCTGGTGCCTAGGGAGTATGGGGATAAGGTGAAGGCTTTGAGTCCTTCTAGGGCTAGCAATGCCCGCCATGATGAGAGCAATGTTAGTATTACTGTCCCGTAATTGCTTATGTAACTAAGCTTCTCTTGCTCTCCTTGATGTCCGTTGAACCTTACCACTTATCATGGTTGTTAGCACTAAAATTGTGGCATCGGAAGGTACTTGACGGTAGCCATGGGTGCATGAAGTGAGAGTACCGTAGGTGGTAGCCATGCGCCTCTGGCTCTTGTCACTCAAGTGATGGGCCAAATTGAACCGGAAAACTTGGATAACTAGGAGTTGTTTGGTGTCGCCATTTGTCTCACCTCTTGTAATGTACGTAGTACGAGACATGCTTTATGAGCGCAGAAGACAATTTACCTGCGGTCCGTCATGCAGCTGGAGGTGTCTATTGCCGAATCATATTGCTTGAAGGATCTGCGATTTGGTTGCCCCAGATGACCTGAAATTTCCCCCGATTCTGCTCCACCTCAACAGTTTTACGAACTTCGAAAATGTTTCGCTAACCCTGCGACGCGGGAATTCCTACCTGACATGCATCAGCGCGTCGCCGAACCGAAACTGTTTCTTTCTGACCTCGGTACTGTACCCTCATCTTCTCTATTCGGCTGGTGGTGTGGCTGACCGCCCCCCTGCCGAACGAATCGGACGAATCGGAGTCAAAAGTTCAGGATGTCGGTTGGGGCGGAGATTGGGGGGAGTGCTGTACCTGCCCATTGGCAGCTGCCCGCAATTCCTCGTCAGCGCAATCCCTTTCTTTTTCTGACCGAGCCTTGTAACATACAGTACAGCCTCCACTTTGAATGTGACTCGAATATGATACCCTGCCCCCGATTCACCCGTAAGGTTATTTTACCTATCACGGTGTGTGATAAGGGCGTTGTAACGCTCCTTTGATTTGCGCTGCACCATGCCTGTCCCCCGAGTCTCCCCTCATGCAGTGTGCCAGGAAGCAAGCCAACCATCTGTAACGAGACATCCTGACCGCCGAATGCTTTTCTTCACCAACCACCACAGCATCGGATGGTCGACGTTACCGGCACGAAGGAACATCCGATTCGGTTCATCACATGTGCCGAACTGATCGGATGTTCCTTCTTTTCCCCCTCCTCTTCCCCCCTCACCCCCCCGCCTCCCCCAACCTTCTCCCTCGCTTCCCTCCCCCCGGTGCTTCTCGATTGCCCCAGTTCTGATTTGCCCGAGCCTAATTAGCCCCGCCTCAGTTCCCGCAACCAAGAAAAGTCCCGCCCGCAGCATTCCTCAAGCCATGTGTTGCGCTGCAAAGCGGTACAGCGCAAAGCCTGGCTGTTACCGTATGGGAAAGCACACAACCGAAAAAAAATATGTAGCACACCCACCTTGCTCCCACCTCGCTATGCGCTGTCCACCTAACCTGTCTAATTTCTCCTTCCGCGCTCCCTGAGTCAGCAGCACGAGCACGAGACTACCAGCCCGCACATTTAGGAACCCACCAACACCCACACCCCTTCTGATACGAAGCCGATATAAAACTGTGTTCTTAGGATTGATGTGTTTGCCTTGTAGCCCAGCCCACAAAGCACACGAGCTGCCTCAAGTTCCCTCCATTGCGCAGTTGATATACCTGTACGTACAACGCTTGTGCTCACACAGCACACGCGGCGCTCTATTTATCCTCCTTTTTCGGCTCAGTTGCCCGGTTTAAGTTAGCACCTTTTGGATTTCCAAGCTGCGAGAGACCTTCGCGCGTATGCGCCCTAAAGGCGCTTTAATCTCGTTCACCATGAAGCTTCGGTCACTTTTCGTCTTAGCGTTCCTAGCCGCGATCGTGGTCGCATCTCCATCCCTCGCCACGCACAAGCGGCGCGAGCTCCAGGAAGGCCTCCTTTTGGCCAAGAAGAGTCAGAGCTTATACCGTAACAAGGAGGTGAAAGGCTCTGGAGGCGGGGACGGCGCAGGTGGCGCCGCGAGAGGCGCCGCAGATGGCGCTGCTCCCTCGCTGACGATCTTCTGCGCCCCGAAGCCGTACGAGTCGGTGCTGAGCCCTAAGGATCGCGCAGTTGACAACCAGCGCCGCGCGCTGCTGTCGTGGCTGCGATTGACTCCGGCTCCTAAAATTGTCCTTCTCGGGAACGACACGACGTTTCACGCGCTCGCGCGGGAGTTCCCGACGCGCATTTCCGTGGACGACGCGATCGACACCAATTTCTACGGCGTGCCGCAGTTTCACAGCATCGTGGCGCGCGCACAGGCCGCCGATACGGACCTCTCCATGATCATCAACGGCGATATTATTCTCCTCAATGACGTCATGGTTGCCATTGAGAAGATTCACCGCAGCTTCCCGCACTGGGTGATGACGTCAGCGCGGTGGGACGTGAAGGAGGATTTTCCGTACTCGTTCGAACCTTCCATGTGGGCTTCGTCTGGCGGCGGCGGCGGACGCAGCAGCGCCGCGATCGAGAAGGAGATTAAGAAGCTCGTTCGGGAAACCGGGTCGTTGCATACCTATGGTGGAGTTGACTTTTGGGCTTGGAACAACTCTCCGCTTCCGCTTTTCACGGGAATTATGCCTCCTTTCATGTTCGGACGCGGCAAATACGACAACTGGCTGACGCACGAGATGGTCGCGTCGGGCGTCCGGCAAGTCGTCGACGCGAGCGACGCGGTGACGGCAATCCACGTGGCCCATTCCTATTCGCACGTGGTGGAGGGCGACGCGACTAAGGAAGGGAAGGGTCTTCTAGGAAAGAGTTTTTGGTCGACGAGGAAGCATAGCAGCTGGGAGTTATTCGCGAATATTCACATGGCGCAGACCCACGGATCGTACGTCAACCAGAAGGGCACGGCGCTGCACGTGCCGTGGAAACTCGCCACGTGTCACGAACCGTCAGGTATGGCGCTGGTCGAGGCGGGGGTGTTAGGATACAGCAGGGTTCGCAGGCGGAAAGAATTGGGGGGGCGGGGGGAAGTCGGGTTGGGGGGACAGCTGGTGGGGGAGGGGGGAATGGAGAGAAGGCGGGGAGGAGGAAAACAGTAGCGGAGGGGCTGTATGGGGTGTACTCTTCAACCGCAAATTGAGTAAAGTTGCAAGAGAACATAATTATGATTGAACTCGTTTAGGGTGTGTGCGCCCAGTCAGGTGCATGTGCGAACGAATCACCCCTTCCCCTCATTCCAAACCCCCTTACCCCGCCCCCCACCAACCCCCCAATCACCCCTCTCCACAGTTTTCTCCCCCGCTCCCCCTATATGTTAAAGCGATTGCGCCCCACCACGCACGAGTTCTCCAACCCAACTTCCCCCTTTCCCTTCCCCCTCTTTCCCCGCTCCCACTTTCCCCTCTCCCTCTCACCCTCTGTCCCCCTCTCCCCTCCGCCACCCCCCCCGCAGTCTTCAACATGTGTCTTCAGAAGCGCCTGCGTCCCGCCACGTGCACGTGCGAGTTTTCCAACTTCGTCGAAAACAGCCAATCGGATCCCAAGCTCGACGCGACGGGCCACAAGTGGCAGTGCGGAACCGTGTCCGTCGATAAGCAGGAGGATTACTCAATCGCAGCCGTTCCTTCGCCAAAAACCTCCATCGGTCTGCCGCACACAATGGAGCAGCTGCTGCCGCGCGTCGCGAGGGAGGAGAACGGGCTCAAGGTGGTAACCCTAGTCGCGGTTACGTTCGGCTACGCGGAGATGCTGATGAGCTTCGTGTGCCGCCTGAGGGGACTCGGCCTGGCGGATAATCTCGTGGTCGCAGCGCTCGATGAGGACCTCTATCGCTTCGCGTTCACGCAAGGGCTGGCGGTGTACTACGAGCAGGTGAGCCCTCCTAACGAATCAGGCTAGTAACGGATCATGCTACTTGGTAGCTGGGCCAGTAATGAATCTGGCTATGGATGAATGAGCAATGGATGGGCTAGTAACCAGTGAGGCCAGTAACCAGTGAGGCCAGCACCTCCTTGTCGAAGTCATTTTGCATCCCCCACTCTTCCCCCCCTCACATTTCTCCTATTTCTTCCCCCTCCCCTCTCCCCCCTTCCTCCTCCCTCCTTTTCCTCTTCCATGAAAGGGAGCTGGTCTTTGCAGCCAGTTCTTTGCCAAATCGTCAATCTCAAATTGCCTCAATTCAACACTTCCTCCTTTCCCCCGCTTCCTTCCCTTCCTCTCCCTGCTCCAGGTTAGCGTGGGTCTCAAGGGCATCGACTCTAAGAACTGCGCCTTTGGCAGCCAGTGCTTCCGCCAATTCACCAAGCTCAAATCCCGCGCCGTGCTGCGAGTGCTCAAGGCAGGCTACTCGGTCCTCTGGACCGACGTTGACATCGTCTGGTTCTCCGACCCTCTCCCGGACCTCATGTCGTACGGGCCTGGCACCTTCCCGATCCAGAGCAACGAGCCGAACGCCAGCCTTCCTGGGACTGGAATCCGCAGGATCAACTCCGGGTTTTATTTCGCGAGGTCAGATGCGCGGACAATCGAAGGGTTTGAGGCGATCACAGCACACGCAGCCACAACTAAGCTATCCGAGCAGCCGAGCTTCTATGATATCCTCTGCGGGGTGAAAGGAGAGAATGTGGTTCCCGGAAAGGAGGAATGTGTGTGGAAGAACGGTCTTCGGACGATTTTCCTCGACAGGGCGATTTACCCTAACGGCGCGGTGCACGGGTTTTGGGAAGCGGCAGATGTGATGGGGGCGTGCCGGAGAAAGGGGAGTAAGATTCTGCACAACAACTGGATCGCTGGAAAGGATGCTAAGAAAGAGAGGTTTGTGGTGAACTCGTTTTGGCACTACGATGGGTTGAGACGGATGTGCACGTGGGATTGGCACAGCAAGCTTCCGGACGTGATTGTACCTGAGGTGAAGGTGATTAAGGCGACTACATAGTGTTATCGTGTGTTTGGAATGACTGTAATTCTGAAAGCTAGTGGTTTACATGACTTCAGAAGCACCATATGGCTCCCATAAAAGTGCGTAGAAAAGAACCTATGAGGGTATGGGGAGAACTGTTTCATGTGTGCTTACAAGATGTTTGCATTATCCTTGATGCGAGCTAAATACATGCATACTGTTCACCATGGGAAGAGTTACCTAGACTGTTCACAGGGAAATTGCTTACTTTCTTGATATGCTAAATTGCAGCGTTATTATACAGGCAATACGAATGCATCACGTATTGTACACCTCCCTCCTCTCCAACACCACTGGGGCTTCGAGTTAGAACCAACGGATTCTCGAACATTTTTAGGAGGTTGTAACTCAGCAAGGCTGGGTTGTGTAACACTTGCACGAAGGGCTATACACGTATCGCACACACGTCCCCATCGTCGTCAGCGAATCGGATCGTGTAGCGAGTAGCCTCCTCCGACGCCGTGCAATCACATCCTGTGGAGCTGCATACTTACCAACCATTTCGTACGCAAAATAACACGGAGCGTTCGCGTTGCAATATTGCTGCACCACCGCAGCGGGACTATAGACGGGTCGGTAAATCATGTACACCGTAACGTGCGATTCGATATAAGGGTCGTAGGTTACGAGTATAGCGCCCGAGAGGTCGTTAGCGTCGGCTTTGGCGCCATATTGCTCAAGGTAAGCAGAAACCATTCCATATGGGTCGGCCGGAGGGGAGAGATCTGCTCCAGCTACCTGAAAAATATGGAGGAAAGGATGCGGTGATCATGGAATGAGGTGTGGGAACCAAAACTGCAAGCACCATGTAGACACAGAATGAGTAACGGATGACGAGAAATTTTATCTCACAGAACAACGTGCTTACCGTGAAATTTGTCTGCGTCATGGGAGGAGCTGACACCATTCCTGCTGCGTCAACCTCGAGAGCCGTGGGGTACATGTTCGACACGTCCAGCGTTACTTGCGGGGCGCCTTGTAATGAGGATGGCACTGTCAGGGAAACCACATACGACGAGTCCACTACACGCTCGGGCAGGCTGCCCAGATTACCCTTAACGAATTGTTTTGTAGAAGGGTAGTAAGTGTACACGTCCAAAAGACCCGGGGGAACGCAGCGGCGAGGGCCTGGGGAAAGAGGATAAGAAGAAGAAACGGGGAAGGGGAGGAGGAGGGACGACGTGAGGTCGGGAGGAATGAGCGCACGCGCGAACGAAGAGACAGGGGAGAGGAAAGGGGGGAAGGGGGAAAACGGAGAGGTAGCGGTGGGAGACAGTTGAGGAGAGGGATCGAAGGGGAAGAAAGAGTAGCGCCGTCGGGCGAGTCTGGAAAAATGGAACAGCACGGAGGATGGCGAGGACACATGAGAGCAGAGCAGGGACAGAGAAGGATACATCGCGAAAAAGGAAAACTGCGTTTTTTGGCCCCCGAAGGTTTTTCTGCCTCTGCCTTGCGTGAATGTTGCGGAAAGCTGCGGTAAAACAACGCACGCAAATCGCAACATTCTGAACACCGGAAACGCGCGCGTACATCAGACACAAAAAACTGACATTACAGTATCCTTGTCGCAAAGCTATCGAATTCCCGGAGCGCACACCTACACCCCGAGTCGCGAACGTGTGCACAAATTTCCCGATGAAATTCCCGCGTTATGGTGACCGCGGTGCGTCCATTGTGCCAACTTATAACATCGGACCGTAAACGAAGTTCACGCGTACCGTCAAATGTCTCACAAGGTTCCCCAACTCATCCATTTTCATTAAAATCCTCCAACCACTATTACAACAGCAATACAACCCCAACCCCGTCATCCACAGGCGTACGGTACCGCACACACACAACGCCAACTACGCACACCACGCACAACGCACACACCGCACAACTTCAACCAACTGCATCACTCGTCGTCCTCGTCCTTGCGCTCCGAAGGGCCTGCCATGTCCTCCGTGCGCAGCCCCGCTCGCGCACGCTTAACTGGCGTCCTGCCGAGGCGGGAAATCACCTCCTGGTTAGATGCGCCGACCTCTGCTGGCACGAGGGCCGGGGGAATGCCGAGCTCATCGGCACGCTCCACGTACGCGTTTGTGACGTTGCGAATGACGCGCCGCCTGCTGCGCTCGTCCCGCAGCAGCGGGCCGTCTGGCAGGCTCATCTCGCCCGACGAGTCATCCGACGCGCTTGCAGCAGGTGTGGCAACGAACCCCTGCTCCACGCAGAGCCCCGCGTCGCAGTTGACGAACTCCGCCGCCGTCATGTAGCACGCAGGCCTCATCTTAAACTTCTCGATGAGCAACTGCAGCTCGACGCAAGTCGCAATGAGCGGCTCAAACATGCCCGTCGCGCTGGTGTCGTTCAGGTACGCCATCAGCGGCGGCCAGCTCGGCGGCACGCATCCGGCGCGCCACCAGCTCCTCTGCATGGTTGCAGCGCGCACACGGGTCCACGATTCCCCCAGCCACTCCAGCATGAGTCCGTAGTCCACGTCGGCGATAGAAGCGGCATAGTCGAACTGGAACCGCTTCGCCGCGATCGCCCGCTTCATCAGCATAACGCGGTAATGGGCCTTCAGCGCGTCCTCCACTCCCTGCAGGTGCGGAAGGCCCCCTTCGGGAACCGACCCACGTATGTTGACGACACGGGTGTTGGTGAGGTGCTGCACACTGAAGCCGTGCTCCGAGACGGGGCGCGCGACCTCGCCGGTGATGTGATGCGCCTCGTGTATGGTTAGGATGAGTGTGTTGCGATCACGACTAAAGTGCACACCGTTGACAGTCTCCACAAACTCCGTGAACACCTGCGAGCATAGCATCATACACCGACAGCACAACACCATCAGTGTGTCGGCCCACACATGTACGTTGCAAACATGACACAGACATGGTGCACAGCGAGGTGTAATTGTCACCTACCTCCGGAGTCAACCGGCCGCGGTGCGTATATCGGACTGCCACCATGCGCGATGCCGCACGCCCCCGCCTGCGCTCGGGCCTATCGTACGGCGATAGGACCACCAGTGGCACCGCGGAACAACTGCCCGTCGCGTTGTAAAGAATGCCGATGCTGACAATCCGCTCGCAAACATTACGCTTGTCTGGAATGTATGTCTTCGGGAGGCGGCTCGGAAGAAAATTAATCTCGTGGAAGCAGAACACATCGTCCGGGTGCGCAGTAGCCAGCAGTCCCTTCAGGTCACCCATTGAAGCTGTGTGTCACCCAGGTGGGCAAGTATGCGTTGGGGGATGGCACCCAGTCTTGCTATATACGTTGTAGTTCACTGGAACGTACCCCGGTTTGCCCTCGTACGCACACTACGTACGAGGGTTGACAAGCGCCACACAAGTTTGCGAGCACAACTCCTGCGCCGCTCCAAGATAACGGACACATGTGAAACGGCCACCTGTGACATTCAGATAGGCCACCTCGCGAATCGAAGCCACGTACGCGTCACCCGTATCCGACCAACCAACGGCGGGTGTTCGGTCGGTCACACCACCACACATTGAAGCGCGTCAACTTCGACCGCACAAGCGTCAACCGTACCAAGACCCGTTATAGGCCGGGTTTACTGACCGCTACCACTATAACCTCACTGTTTAAACACCAACATATACGTTTCGGGTTTAGGGTTGCCACCGCGTACCCATGCACAAAATGCCAATGTACACCCACGGACACCATATCACATTTATTCATCACAATATGTGGCGACACATCAGCGTCAACACTAACCTGAACCACCCAAAGTATAAACATCCCACCACAGTTGACTACACTCCCTGCAATCCTGTACCCATCATTCCTAAGTTCCACCATACCAACACGTGCCGTCACTCACATAGCAAAAACCTGTTAACTAATTGCACCTTGTTGTTGCTGTACGACGGGCACACGTGCACAACTCTCTGCAGGCTGCCCAGCTCCACCACCGAATACCTCACCTTCTCCACTTTCTTGTGCAGCTGCGTGCACCCTGTAAGCTTGCAGCTTCCCGCCCTCTCGTAGTACCTCACGTATGCGTATCCCTTCCACTCCCCATCACGGTCAAGCGCCCTGAAGATGCACAGACATCTTGCATACCAGTCCCCCTTCTTGTTGTTCAGAAGTGCCACGTTCGAGTACCACCTCTCTCGTGGAGATGCCTTCACAAACGTCCCTTTGGCCACCAGCTCGCCGCCTCTTGTGCGCGGAATGGCCACCGCGGTGTGGACCTGTCACGCGGTTGTGTACAATCCAACATCTCTTAGCATCATGAGTGCAGTGGCAACCAACGTGCAAGCCCCAGGTGCGAGATGTATGTGCGACAGCATTATCACCACACCTGCACGTTGTTGGTAGCCAGGTCCAACGCCTTAAACTCCGCGGCCATCCCCTTCATCTCGTCTCCAAGCGCGGCTGTGTACTCATCGTACACCGGATCCGACGCCCCGCCTATGCGCATGATCCGATACTTCTTTGTAAGCACCGGTTTCCTCGTCTTGATTGCCTGCACGTGTACAACCACGTTCCCACAACAAGCCGCAACCTGCCTCAGGCTCCGCTCGTACATGGGCACCCGTGCAACATTACACAATGAATGGCCATCGTAGCACCAACCACTCCCCTACGCACCTCGCGCAATGCAGACGCATACTGCCGCCCACCGCCGGCGTCTGCAGCCACCTCACGGTACACCTCTCTCTGCACCTCCTCCTCCACGATTCGGCGCGGAATGTCGCTCCAGTTGCTCCCTCTAACTGGACCCTTGACCGTGCCCTTGTGCGTGCGCTCCCACATCTCAGTGGAATAATGGTGCGGCATCCCGCGCTCCACCACGTTGTCCAGTAAATGTCTTATCATGTGTATCTTTGGTAGTCTCCAGTGGGATGCCTGCTTTGGAAATGCTCTCGGGAGCAACGCCACCAACCTGCCACATCGTCCACGATGGCAGGCAACAGTCAATGCACACTCGTGTGCCACCCGACGGCCGCCACAACAAACCCACCGCAATTCCGACCAGCGATGCACCTAATGCACACACTTACGCTATCGCATGCTGCCGTGCAATCGCAATGGTGGTATGTGTGTGCCGGTCCACAGCCAGAAACGCCTTGTAAAACACAGCAAACAGCCTGAACGCTTTGACCTGCAACGCGCGCAGCTCTCCCGGTTCATCACCCTTCAACGCGCTCTCGTCAGCCACCAAGATCGGCATTATCTGCATCATGCTCCTGTGCTCGAACGCAGCGTAGTTTGCGCCGGAACCGAAGAACGATGAGCCCCCTGGGATTCGGAGGAGCACGCTAGGCGTGATGGCCTTAAACTCCTTCTTGCGTCTGCGCACACCAAGTATTCGACGTGCCCATCAGCGCTGCACACATGGTGTACTACAACCCAAATGACCCCACCAGGATATGACATGCAGGCTACAGTCTGCTCACCGTTCAAGCGTCCGCATCTCAACCTTCCCAAGCGGTTCGATGTAGGTGTCCATCATGTGGATCAGCACACCGGAGTCCAGAACATGCAGTGTGTCTGCAAGGCATGCCAGATACACGTTGCCCCACTCTGTGTCCGCGAAATTCCACCTGTGAAGTACGCACTGCAATGTCCAACCAAAGACACCACCGCGTCATTAGGTTCCACCGTACACTACAGGCACGCAAACGCCCTCAGGGTTTAGCCCACCTCGATCGGATGTGTTGACCATAGCCTCCGCACGGCGTCAGCGTCGCCCTTCTTCTTACACGCCAGGATCTGGCGGACAATGTCCCTCTGCATCTCGGGGGTACGCGGATCGGCCTTCCCCACCATCATGGTCAACTCCCCCTTGTCTGCATAGCAGTTAGCGCACGGCCGGTGCGTCCCCTGCTGAAGAGTCGCAGAAGCTCTGCTGGACTCCGGAAAGTCGGCAGGGTATCCGTACAGGCAAGGGACCGCTTTGTGCACCTTCCCGTCCGCGTCCGTGCAGTAGAAGAAGCGAACTGGCCCGCTGCACATTGTGACGATGCACACGTGGCCGTGAGTTAGGTTAGGAACGTACACACAATACGCGGTCATAACACGGGGCAATATCTGCTGGGGTCCCCACTGGCCTGCTGCTCGTGTAGCATATGCACCTCAGTACCTTGCAGATTCTCGCATGATGGGCGCGAGGATGATCTTCAATGCCTCCTGGAAAACCCGCGTCTTCTCCGTGGGCGATGCCCATTCGGGTGGGAATGGCAGCACCGCCGCCAACGTGTGCCCAGGCTCCACCCCACGTAATTCCGCTGGTATGTTGATAAGCGAGATCAGCACCGGCCACGCATTCCTCCGACCATTCCGTGATGCCTGGGTGCTATCACTGTATATCAGCACGCCTAGTATGAGTGCCTCACTGTCATTAATCTCCTTCTGCCATGCCAACCATACATGCCCTTGCACAAATGTTAGACTCCGTCTTATAGCATTCTGGGACTCACATGTAATGTGGACTGGCCTACCGATGCACTTACCTGAGCAGCGTGCATCCAATCGCCCGTCTCCGGCCCCTCGAATACCCTCTCGCCATTCTTCTTCCGATGAATCTTCTTAGGTTTCCACACGAACCCTTTCTTGGATGAGAACGTCCGCACCAGCTTCTTCAGAATCTGCGCGCATCGGGATATAATCAGGAGTGAGCGGCAAGATTCCTTCCCAGTGACGACGACGGGGGATGCGGGTGTGGCCGCCGTTTACGAACCAGCTCTGTGTCGCGGTAGTGCAGTAGCAGCTTCATTTGCATTCCTTTGGGGCCCCGCACCACTATCTCCTCCGTTTTCCACGGGACCATGTCTGCTGGAGCGCGCGCCATTCCCCATCGGCGCACGTCCACCCAGTTGCGCCATCGTCGGAGGGCCCGTAAGTTGAAGCGCGGGTTGCGGAAAATGTGTAACAGACGGTTAACTTCCCGGTGCGAAAGATCGGCGTCACGGAAGAATAGATACAACTCGGTCAGTGTGTCGAAAATCTCCGCCCTCTCGCTGTGTTCCGATGACTCCGCATTCTCGCCGTCAGCTGGTGTATCCGCGACGCTAACCAGGCTAACTTCGGGAATAGAGGCGGTCGGAGCAACCGATACAACACTGCCGTCATTATCCTTAAGCCGCGATGCGGGCGGTGTGTTTGGTCTACTCTCTCCGTCACGGGCAATTGCTTCCAAATATGCCGCCAACAAAAGACTCTCCCGTTTCCTCTTCAACTCTGCGCGACAAATTGCACCGTTAGCGACATGTGACTGTAACCGGCTGTCGTCCTTAAACACCGTCTCGCACACCATGCAACTGTTCCCCGTCATCCTGCAACCTTGAAACCCTAGAGACCGTGGCGATAGAAACTCGGACTGGCCACAGGTGTGCTCTAACACAACTCAGAGGATCAACATGGTGCACACTCATGTGCACAGAACTTTGAAAAGTGTGCACATACCATCTGTTCGATTGTCACCGGTAAACATTATACACCCAACCATAATGCACAACCATATTATAATTGCAGAATGTGTAACGGTGGTCCGGTAAATAACACTCCCCGTTTTTGACCCGGAATTATCAGCGCGGTAATTAGTACGACCAGAAATAGAAATAGCCAATAACTGACGTCGTGGGATTGTACACAGTTGGCTCCATAAGACGTTGTGTATTGTTTTTGCACGTCATATACCCGTTATGCATATTGCAATATTGTTTACGACAACCTACAAATTTTACTTCCGCTTTTAAGAGTACACGACTACATCGTGTACAACCCATACTTAGTGCGCGCTGGTGGCCCAACAACCCAAGTGCTGACGTCCGCGTACGCCGTTATCGGATTCCGCGTCACTTGGATTGTACAAGGAAAACCAAATGGTGTTCCATGCACCAGAATTGCTGACCCACCCTAAATCTCGCATCCTCGTGTTCCGAACCCCTTGGTTTACAACACGTGGATATGCATGCTGCCTCACCATCACATCCAGTCTCGTTATCGAGTCACAGGTGGACATCGCATGCGCATCTCATCCAACGGTGTATACCATTTCGCCTATGCATGCCCAACACCCACCAGGTTATAGGCGACATCTTGGCCCACCCGTCAATCAGAGTAGTTCCCTCCAGGCGAGATCCGTGAGTGGCTGTGTTCTCCCAGTCATCCCCTCCGTGCTCACCTCGTATTAAGGCCGGCCTCCTCCGCATGGTATTCAGTGTCCGTTCTTGATGGCGATTCCTAAACAGTCTGTCTCTAAGCGCAACCGGTTCCATGAACCGGAGACTAGCAGCAGCGGCGATGACCAAGATCCTGACCCGTCTGTTCCCAGAACCAGAGCGTCGACCAAGGGCGACAAAAAATCACCTCCGTGTCCGCCGACAAAGGACGGCGGAAGGGCTTCTAGGTTCGCGACCCATGTCGTGGAAAAGGCGACAGAGCCGGTGCCGGACGATGTGGTGGCCGCTATCGCCCGGAACTATGCGAAATCATCTTACCGCAACATCAGGCTCATGAATCACCGCGGTGTCGGATGTGAGGTGGACAAGGACGACTTCATGTCGATCGAGGACGAACAGTGGATCACCGATGGCGTGGTGGACTTTCACAACGTGTAAGTACCGTGCTGACAGCCCCGCACATGCGCGCGCTTTTGTACGATTTTCTGCGCATCTCACTGTAGCACGGTGTGTTAACTTGTTCGTGTTCACCTCTGCGCAGGCTGCTTAGCATCAGGAAGCCGTCGCTCCGCGACGGCAAGACATGGGCCGCCATGGACTGCAAGGCCTATTCACAGACGACAGCTGCGCATGGAGTGCCGTTAACGCTGGGGAGTGGGCGGCCGATTTTGGAACACGATTATCTTGCGATCCCGGTCCTAGAGTCGTGAGTGTACTCATCTTACCAGTGTTCCCGGTTGGTTTCCGTGATGTGCAACCGACTGCTGTTTAACACCGATCCCGTTTCACCCCAATCTTCTTGCGCGCAGTGAGCACTATTCCCTCGTCATCGCTATAAACCCATCGGTGCTCACCAAGACGCAGAGAACCAAGGGCAAGGAGCGCCTGACTTTGGTCTTGCTGGACAGCGCGATCAAGAATCGAAATAGCCACAAGATTTTCGCAGGCACGAAGCTGTGAGTAGGGGTTTCGGCATAACGAAGCGCATAGCATATACGTCCATGCTCAATTTTGTTAATACCGGACGAACTCTTGTATGCAGGTTGCTGTCCGAACTCGCAAAGGCGAGTAACCCAAACGCTAACATGGAGGTTGTGGACAGGACGCTGAGCGCGGCGGACTGCGTAATTCTACGGGTGAGTACGCCTCGTTCGTTCTGTACACAGCTGTGCTGGTTGCATACACAGGTGTGCATACTGATAACTTCGGTATTCGTTACCCTTATGACAGGAGGATAAGCTGCCACAGCAGCCGAACAAGGAGGACTGTGGGATTTTTGTTTGTCAGTACCTCAAGACCCTGGTGCATACCGACTTCGCCACGGTGTTTTCGGGCCTCTGGTTCCAGGGTGTGACACCGCACCAATACAGGCGGGAGATGCGCCGAGACTTGTGTGCACACGCTGGCGGAGAGCTTCTGAAACAACTACAGGAACTGGGGATTGAAGTCCCGCCGCAAGACGAAGGCCTGGTTACCGCAGAGGGGACAGTGGTGCAGGTGAGAAACACTGCGGAGGGAGATGGGAGGCAGGCGCCAAACACTCGCCATGATGAGGACGCTCGGTTTACGGAGATGACGAGGCGCATAGCATCGCTGCATAACGATGTGAGGTACCTGGACGCCAGCTTCACCGTGATCGCCAACTTCGTGGGCCTGAGCCGGGACGAGGTGGTGTCCGCTGCAACCCAACTGCTGCTGCATGGAGGGGTCGCGGGGAACGGCACGAAAACAGAGGCGGGTGGCAACAAGCATGCGCCACGCACACCCCAGCGTCCGTCTGCCCGGAAGAGGCGAGATGACAGCAGTCCTGAGGAGGACGGCGTGCGCAACCTCACCCAGGTGGCGCTGGCCTCCACGTTCGCCGCATGTGCGCCGACACCGAGCCTGCTGCAGAACCCGCTGATCTCGAACGGGGCCATACCTCCCTGGATGTTGACGCGCCCGCGGCTGCTGTCCGGCACGGGTGTGCCAGCTGGACCTGACGTGTGGGGAGACAGGCTTGGGCAGGAGACGGCGAAGGCCGACGAAGAGGAGGATCTCGTGTCAGATTCAGATGACGAGGACGGTGGCGAAGATACATGTGCAACCAGGTACACGGGTGTGAAGCTGGATCCGAACACCGGCAAGTACTGCGTCAAGATTCTGTTTAAAGAACGTGGGAAGCGCAAGCAGCAGAGACTGGGAGGGTACACCACTGAGGAGGAGGCGGCATTTGCATACGCCGCCGGTGCGTTCGTGCTGAGGCCTAGCGAGAGGATACCCAACACCGTCAGCCTGTCGGCCGCAGAGAAGGCAACGCTGCGGGGGTGCACCAAAGAAGATTTACAGACCCTGGTGGAAGCGAGGAAGTGGTGGAGGTGGAGGAGTTGGCGTGAGGCGCTGGAGAGCGTGGGCCAGCGGTTGAAACGAGTGAGGAAGCGTGGGGGTGCAACAGGTGCATCAAAGAGGCGCAGGGTTGTGGACCACGACCACACAGCTACCAACGACCCAGCGGCAACCGACAATGCTGAGAGTGGGGGGACGGCCCCAGTGACAAACGAGCAAGGCGGAGGTGCAAGGGACAATGACCAGGAAGAGCGGAGGGAAGACACTGGAGCTGAGGAGAAGACATCAGAGATGGCTGCATAATTGGTGTGGAGTCAATGTGTGGTTGAAACATGTCCGTGCACGTAGTTGCTCACCCTTGTGTAGCTTTCGGATAATGTTGCATTTGGAATGAAGAGTCTTGTGCGTGCAAAGTATGAACGACAAACACCGTTAGCTGGTAATGCAATCGTGAACTTGGTGTACTACATGTTTAAGTGAGTAAGGGCCTCAACGAATACCGGAACCAGTTCCGTGACGAGTGTCCACACAATGAAGGTATGTGGACAATGTTGTGACCACATGATGTGCGCAGTGTATGGTTCGGGGGTGGACACCCGTCAATGTGCGAGTGACGTGGTGTTCTGTAATTGGGGGTTTTGGATTGCGGTCATCCAGATGTGTACGAGGCAGTATTGGGTACCAACCTCCTCATGTATTCGGTGCAGCGGAGTGTCATGGAAGCTGAGCATCTCACCGCTACGTAGAAAAGTGGTTATCGCGTCATTATGTGCGCATCTCACTGGATACTTCAGTTGCTTCAATGGATACCTCAATTGCTTCTGAGGATACCCGAGCTGGGGGACGCTCCCGTCGTGTCTCGCTCCCGCCTGCGTACCTGCGAGCGTCATACCAGTTGACGATGCCGCGAGGTCGACTGTCCAACGGGAACCGTGGGGCGCCCTTACCCAAGAGCCTGAGCTTCCGCAAGAAGGGGAAGGAGGTGGTGCAGCCAGAGGAAGGTATGCATTACGATCATGAGTGGATCAGTCACGACGTTCGCGGCGGTTGTTGCGCGCGTATGCTAACTTGCGGTTCTGTGCGCCTGTTGTCATTCTGTCACCCACAGATGACGGCACTGGGGCGGAGAGTGCAGATTCGTCCGAGCGCAGCGAGGATGAGGACGAGGAAGGCGGAGACACGTCGGCATCAGGATCAGGCGAAGAATCAGCCGAGCCCGCTAAGGGGGGGAAGACGGACGACGATGGGCGTGCGGGACCATCCGCGGCCAACGCTGACACTCGCGCTAATCACGACGTGGACGGACTGGTGGGACCCACACGCTGGGACACAGTGGACGCCAACAGCGATGACGTGCGCATACCGAGCCGTATCCTCGAGCAACTCATTCAGGCTCAGGACAAGAGCGCCAAGGAGAACGCGCGGTTGGAGGCGCTGTTCTTGAATGCGATGTCTCGGCCGTCCAGCGGCTCTCATAAGCGTAAGGCGACCAGGCAGAGAGACCCGGGGCAGGGTTGTATGAACCCGAAGCGTAAGCGTGGCGAGACGTGGAGTGGCGGGTCAGACGATGACGGCGAGGACGACGATGACGACACACATGGATCTGGTGGCCGTCATATGCGCACGGCCAAGTCTCCTATTCTGCAGCGCGCCTTGGAGCATTTGCCTGCGGACAAGGCGTGGAAGGTGAGCGGGCCCGTTCCCGTCCGGTTCCATTATTCAACCGTCATGCATACCGGTGTGCGCCACTCATGTTGTTGTGTATACCTTATGTGCGCAGCGGGTGTGCGAGCTGGCCAGGGTGCACATGTTTCTCAACAGGCCGACGTCGATGATGACCTTCTACCCGAGCAGCGACGACAAGACACACGGGGTGTGTGCGGTGCTGGACCGCCTGCCGCATAGCTTCGCCTGTTTGGCGTTGGCGGCTGACTAGTCGCGTCGCGCTGATCTCAACAAGACACTCTCTGAGTGGAAGACGCGGGCTGCCGCCCGCGTGCGCGACATTGCACTTCCCAAGCTCGGCTTGTTCCGCGACGATCGGGACGCATCCAGCCCATGGGCACCGGAGAAGGAACGCAGTATTGAGAAGATCCGGGAGCGCATTGGGTTCGGCGCTGACCCCCCTGGTGAGTGCGGTCTACCCCAGCAACCAGGCTTGCCACCGCATCGTTATGCTGTCACCCTCGTGCGTGACGGCCGTTGACACTGACCTGCATGCACGTGGGAATGCAGAAACACTGGTGCTCACGACATGGGCGACAGACCGGGATGGCATGCCGTTCGCCTCTCGGGCGTTCGCGACATGTGCGAAGGCTGCATTCAGGCCCAAGAAGGCCGGCCTGGTGATGACGCTGAAGGTGTACCACCTGGCCTGGTTGGAGCATGTGGTGAGTCTGTGCGCTCTATGTGTGCCATGCATCTGTGTTGTTTACGTCTAACCATTTGAGTGACACGATGCGTGATGGCGCAGGTCTCCGACTGCGTCCTCTACTGGGAGCAGAGGAAAGGCCGGCTTTCCAACTCGGCCGGCGGAAACGCCCACGTTGTGGACGGCCTCAAGGTCCTGGTTAAGGAGGCCGTGGAGAGGGCGATCAGGATCCGCAACCCGGAGTATGACGCGGAGCGGGAGGCGTGGATCTGGGGGCGCCATGGCCTGCGCATCTCTGCGTGCGGCCTGGAGCACATGAGGCCCGCCGGCGCAGCCCAGCCGGAGGAGCCAGTGGGGGACGACGACCTTTCGGCATCCGTGGGGGATGAGTAGGACGGCTGGCGTGGAGGGGATGGGGGAAGCGTGGGTTTTACCGTTGCGGGGACAGTAGATTGGCTGCGTGTGTACGATGATTTGCGGCTGTGTGACAGGGTTATGTGTAGCTGTGGAACGCGCACCTGGGTTAAGCATGTGTCAGTGTTGAAGATGTGGGGGGGTTAGACATAGGCGTGGAGGCGTTGTATGTTTGTGTGTGCGTTTGTTGTTAATGGGAAAAGCTTCAATTGGGGTATTGCTCGCATATGACAGCACATAACAGAAACTATATGGTGCATGCCACAGCGAACCCGCCGTCGCCCAGATGTGCGGGACGGAGAGGGATGCGCCGCATTCTGCGGCGAATTTTACGGTGTGTGCCATGTGTCACCTGTACGTTGGACGTAAAGGATGCAGCGGTGCGCGTAAGTAGACATCTGGTTGGACCGCAACAAGGCTAAGGGATGACGTGGAGCCAATGGTATGGGAGGGTGGCACGCGCTTGTACACCCGTGTCACAATCGTGGACGAGCGTGAAGATGAGGCCGACGGTGGGATGTGCGCTGTGATATGCTATACGGGTGCGACAAATGCACGGTTGTGAGTGGTTCGCGCATACGTCGCAAACGTGAGCCACGATGGGTAGGGCAACCGGTTACCGTTTGTGCGATTGCATGATCGGGTTGCAAGTGTACGGGTAAGATGGATTAATTGTGCGTGACGTGGAAGGTCGGTGGTGTTTACGATGTATACAGATGGACGACGCAGGTGTCGTCGTCATCTAGTTGCGAGCGCAACCCTAATGGTAGGCGAGACTTTTCGCGAAGTGCACGAAACGGTGGCATTGGTTCAGGTGTACGGTGTTTATGCATTGGCGCGTCTGGTGCGGACGCACGATGCGCAAGTGGAGTGAGGCCGCGTGGATGAGGGGTAGTGGCTACCGTTGGCGTGATATGCGGTTTGCTGCCCTATGGGATGCATCCAAATGTACGGTGTGGGAAGGATGCTTGACCACCAGATGTACGGTGCAGATCGGAGCGCGGTGAGCTTGCAAGGATGTGCGAGTTTGTGTGCGCGAATGCGTAACGTGCTATGCGAGTTTATGTACAGGCGACACGTGTACCGTAGTGATTGCGTGACCAGGGTGTCCATCCAACGGTTGTGGTTGCTGTACGTTTTGCTGCATGTACGCTTACGTGGACGTGGGAGTTGAAACAGTATGCCACGTGGGGAAGCCCGTACGGATTGGCAGTTGGGGTTACGTGCTCGTCGCTTTCGAGTTGGTTGACACGGTATGGGCAGGTGAACATTTGGGTGGAGCAGCCCGTGACTGTTTAGCATGTGCGCAGATGCGGGTGGCGTTGCTAAACGGTTGACTGAGTTTGTGCAGAAAGGCGCGGGAAAGTGACTCGGAAGTTACTACGCCAGTGACTGTCGCCACGCAGTTCTAAAACCTTGACTCAAAAGTGCCGGGGGTGTACTATCGGGTAAGTTGTGCAAGAGTGTATTCAGGGCTACTTTCCGCACTTCCCAATTTCGCGATGTAGAAGAAAAAGAGGGGTACTTTACCCTTCATTTTCGCGCCACCGATGTACATGAAGGTGGCGTTCGTCGCCTGCGAATAGCCGAGCGCCACGTTGGCGTCGCTGACGGCGTAATCGGCGTTGGCGACAACCGCCCGCGCACTCTCGCGACTGGTTCCGAGACACATCTTCGACAGCCCCGCTTGATACCTCTGCGGTAGGGGGGAAGACGACGAGAGAGAAGGGCGAAGTTAGTGAAATGCGAAGGCCAGAGAAGGCCAAATTTGTGATAGGACACTAGGACGCATTGAAAGATACGAGGTTGCCTTGTGCGGGGCCTCGAGCTTACCGCAATCATAACGCTGTCCTGCGCGCGCGTTCTTTCTGTCAAGAACTGGGCCCGTACGGTGAGACTGAGGGAATGTACGAGAAGTGCAGCCACAAGCACGTGTAGCACTTGGAGATGGATTTGATCGAAAAAACTTCTCCGCAGGGAAGAGGTGAACGATCGTCTGCGGCCGGTGGCTGAGAAAGAGCCTCGTCGATTCAACTGTTCCTGCTGCATTGCAGCCAATTCGACAGAGTTGCGAGGTAAGCGAGATGGCGAGCTTTGTCGAGTCGACGGAATCGCTGAGTGGAACGACTGCCGGAAACGCGACTGAAAAAGGTTGTTGTTCAAGTGTTACAGGGAGAGCACATAAGATGACAATGGCTTCGAATGGCAGATAACCTGGATGGAATGTGACTGATTGACTGTGTGCATGTAGTGCGTAGACTGAGATGGCTAGTAATCTACTTCAAGGTAGTGTGCTGGCAGCTCTGGCAATGCTGCTGAAGCTGTCGATCGGTCGGTAAGTGACGAGGCGATAAGTTGTTGGCTGCTTGGGGTTGGCTTAGATTTGTCAACCCTCCGCCACTCCAGCGCAATCAGTGTGACATGCGCACCACACATTGCGCCCCTGCAAGCCCCCACGCTTCCCCTTCTTGCCCCCTGCAATTTCTTCCCCCGACCAGACTGTGTCACCCAGAAATGACTTGGCATCTTTCGTCGTCAATCATGCTGCTTGTTGGTTCGTCAATGTCTTGTCGAATCGTCCCCCAGCCAGCCATGCCGCCCCTGATTGCATGGCCGAGATCCAGCCAGCCATGCCGCCCCTGATTGCATGGCCGAAATGCCGAGGGACATCGCATCGCGCGACTTCCGATTGGTTGGAGGCTAGAGTGGTTTGGGCTGGGTTGGGGGAGTGAATAGATTTGGCAATTTTCGCCAAGGGCAGGGCCAGGTTGTGAATGTGGGTCACTGTACAGGTGTGGTTGTTGAAAGCAGGTTGAAACGACAAATCGAGATGAAGCAAACAACCTGCAGGTTTTCTTGCGACAAATACGATTGGTTGCGACGAATGCGCTTGCCCAAAATAACTGCATCCTCTTTGTGCGCCACCGCAATGCTGGATTTTGCCCTAGCATCGGTCGGGGAGGGCTGTAACGGGACGAATAGGAAGTTCGAACATAGTGTCTTTCACTCAGGATACACCCTCTTTCTCACTACACTGAACTGTGCTGAACTGATGGAAAACCTAGTTACCTTCGATTTGTCTGATTGAACCATACCTAGACTTAATCTAACCACCGTTAACCGTGCTTTTCCCATCTTGACTTCACTATAACCGAATTCACAATGGCGAGAAAGAGGGTGTATTGTAATAAACTCCTACTCTAGCACTGAGCAAGTGATGTCAAATTTCCTTTATGGAGCAAGTGATCAACATTTACAATTCTCCTACTACCATACAACAGTCCACTCTGCGTTAGTCCTCGTACGCAGGTCCTACTACTTCAGGGGTCGTGCGTTTAGGCCAGACGCCTTGTCCAAGGAGCACGTATTTGTACATAGCAAGTCATGCCTTTTTTTGGCACCTTGGAACTCTAACAGGGCTGGGTCCTGTAACACTTGCACGAAGGGACATACACGTATCGCACACACGTTCCCATCGATGATATTGTATCCGCTCGCGAACTGCTTGCGAGCAGCCTTCGTCGACGCCTCGCAGATACATCCTGAGGAGCTGCATACCTCCCAACCATTTCGTATGCAAAGTAGCACGGAGCGTTCGAGTTGCAGTACTGCTGTACCACCGCTGCGGGACTGTAGACGGGTCGGTAAATCATGTACACCGTAACGTGCGCCTCGATATACGGGTCATAAGTAACGAGAATTGCCCCCGAGAGGTCGTTAGGGTCAGCTTTGGCGCCGTATTGCTCAAGGTATGAAGAAACCATTCCATATGGGTCGGCCGGAGGGGAGAGATCTGCACGAAAGTGGAGGAAGGAATGTGGTGATTTTGGAATGAGGAGGGGAAATATGAACAAGTGCATAGCTACTAAACGCAGGGAAACCAGGACATGGAAGATGAAATATGTAGACATGGAAGCTTATATGCAGGGGCATGAGTACCGGATAAGGTGGAGGTTACAGAACAAGGACTTTCAAGGCAGGCAAAAACTCGCTTACCGTGAAATTGGTCTGCGTCATGGGAGGGGCTGATACTGTTCCTGCAGCGTCAACCTCGAGAGCCGTAGGATACATGTTCGACACGTCCAAAGTCACTTGCGGGGCGACTTGTAACGCGGATGGCACTGTCAGGGAGACCACATACGACGAGTCCACTACACGCTCGGGTAGGCTGCGCAGATCGCCCTTCACGAATTTGTTTGTAGAGGGGTAGTAGGAGTATACACCCAATAGACCCGGTGGGACGCAGCGGCGAGGTCCTGAGGAAGGAGGGGATAGTAGATGGAAGATACAGGGGATGTGAAAACGAAAGTTCTGTTGTAAGGGGAATGGTATAATCTTGAGAGGAATAAAGGAGAGAGAAGGGGGGAGAAAGGGAGGCCTGAGGGGATGGTATGCAATTGAGTAATGGGGGCAAGTCCGAGTGGGGGGCAGGGGTGAGGCGTGGGGGACGGGACAAGTGGATTAGATGGAGCGACGGGTTGCAGAGAGGGGAAGAGAGAAATAACGGAGGTTGGTACAAACAAAAAAAAGGGAAGTTTACCTTTAATTCTCGCGCCGCCGATGTACATGAAGGTGGCGTTCGTGGGCTGCGAATAGGCGAGCGCCACGTTGGCGTCGCTGCCGGCATAATCGGCGTTTGAAATAACCGCCCGTGCCCTGTCGCGACTGGCTCCGAGACACAGCTTCGACAGCCCCGCTTGATACCTCTGGGGAGAACAGCGCCAAGGAAAGAAAAGAGCGTCAGATAAAAAAACTTATGAGGTTGAAAAAAAAAAAAAAAAAACTTATGGGATGCTTGATTTAATTAAACGGCGTGAGTTTGTTTCTGGAAAGTGTGTCCAACAAGACCACGCACAAATTGCTCTCTTTACGACCTTGCACGAAGCGTCGGAGACTTGGAGCTTACCGCAATGACGACGCTGTCCTTAGAGTCGCGCGTTCCTTCTGTCGGAAACTGGGGGCGAGCCGCGAGCGCCAAG